TCTAAAAAGACACAAGATGGCAATCTTTTCAAAAGGACACCCTGGAATATCTCAGAGCTAAAGATATCCAAGCTATCAGCTTTCCTTGCTCTGGCACTTGCTGGAGACCCTGGGAAAGCAGCTGTGTCCAGCTCACTCCCTCCGTGACCACCAGTAAAAGAGCCAGAGGGTGAGGTGGAGATCTCTGAGGGCATCAGCACAAGTAGGGCTCGTAGCCCCGGCTGCGTGGTCCAATGCAGACGTGAGCTCAGCATCCCTCCCCTGCTCATTTATGGCCATGAGACGCGAGAGTTGTGGCCGGTGGTGCTGCTTCTGAGGCTTGTTTGGGCATCTGCAGCCCCCTCTTTGCCTTCTGTTCCCTCTGCGTTTTCCAGCAGACACAGATCCGGAGGGATGTTTCGTACAGCAAGGAGATTTCAGACAAGGAAGAATAACCTCCTCTTGTATTTTTTTGCTTAATGCCACAAGAATGGCTTCAGAATTCGTCTCACTTAAGGAATTAATTTTCCCTGGTTGAGCAGGGGGTGGTGTGGGGCGGGTGGAGGAATTACCTCTGCTTGCTTTTCACCGCTTACCCAGTGAATGTTTCCAGGTCTCTTGGTTTTATATGTTAATTTTCAGCTTAAAGGTTGTAACGCATCGCAGTGTGGCAAGGCGACAGGGGCGGTGTGACAGTTTCCAGGCTGCTCGTGCTCGTTTTATCTGCAAATGGTTGAATTTGCAATGTGTAATGATCTCTGTAAGGCAGTTAGCAGCGAGATAAACATCAATTTTATGGCTGGAAAAACAGAAGGGGTGTTGCACAGAAAAATGAGAGGACCTGAATACTGAAAACTCCCTGACCTGCTCATCATGGTTGGGTCTTCCTCTTGCATCTCCGTTGGCCCTCATGCATCCTAATCCTTCCCAGCTGTGGGTCGAGCCTTTCCTTTATGGGTGGGGGATGCAGGTAGCAAGGACTTAGTATTCACAGCCAGGAGTTAAGTGGTTTTGCTGAAGTAAGAATAAAGCCTTCAAAATTTTGGGGGGCTTGCTTTATAGTAGGAGCTCCTGCAGAAAGATGGAGTTACCTTTTGATTGCAGCCAGACTGGGGATTTGTACAGCACTTTGCACAGATCTGCCTTGATTTTCACAAATAATGGCTTTTTTTGCAGCTCTGCTTCTTCACTGGATACGATGCGAGGTGTAAAATGCTTTTTCTTAATATGCTGTATGCCTCTGGAATGCAATTAATATTCTTGCCGAAGCCTCAAAAAATGAATAGGCGTGTCTGGATGTTGCTAAGTGTGACTGCGTATGTGTGAGGGGGTGGTGGGAGGGATGGCTCAGTCCTTCAAAGCTGTAAACAACCTAATGTGGATAAGAAAGGCGCAAAACCATCGGTGACAATTCAGGCACACAGACTGGATGCAGGGAGAGGTTGTGCGGTGGTGTCAGGCTGTCCAGGTCCAGCCCATGGGATGGGGCTAATGCACTGGCTGCAGGTGGGAGCAGACATCTCAGCTGCTTTGGGAGCCATCACCTTTCTCCCACTGGGAAGTCCCTGGCCTGGGAAGGCCCTAAATGCCACATCCAGCAGGAGCAGGGGCTGTTATTGCTCCTTCCCTGCAAGCCTGGCAGGAGTGATCAGACCAATTAGTTAATTAGCTGCCGTTGAGACTGACTGGGGATGAGGGCTCTCCCCATGCTGGTGCAGGTGCTCAGCCTGCCTGGGAACTTGAGCTCCTGGGTTTCCTGGGTGGTTTTAGTTTTCTTGATCTGTGTGTGACACGTAATACACTGTCAAATGTCTCAAATGCTGGGAGCACATTCGGGGCTGATACTTTCACTGTAAAGAATATTTAAGATGAGTTTTCACGTTTTATGAAGCTCACTTACTACTAGCATTTCTGCCACGCAGATGTGATGAGAGATGAGCTGGTTTCAGTTTTTCTCTTGACTGTTGCCAGCCCTTTCGAACTCCCCTGCACTGTGACATGATGCTTTAGACATCTCCACCAAAAAAGTATATATAGCACATTTCTGGGGACTAAAGCACAGAGCTTCCTGGTGATGGCATTTAAATAATAATAATAATCTAATCTCAGAACCAATTAGAAACAACATAAATCACCTAAAAATAGCTTCAGGTACTGAAGCCACCTGGATTTCTCCTCTTAGGCTGCAAAGATTCCTGATGAGGCTTGACTAATTGCTCTCACCCATTGGCTTTGGTGGGGGGTGACTGGCCCAAGCATCTGGGGCTGGCTGGGAGTGGAGCCCCAACGCGCTGCGCAAACACCCGGAAGGCATGAAGAAAAATGTTTTCCACCTAATCTTGTTACTGTGACAGCAGCAGTGAGACCTTTTAAAGTGGAAAAATACGGTTTTTTAAAGAGACATTGCTGTCCCGTCAGCTCTGTCTGACAAATGCTAACTATAGCGAGTGCTGCCTGCTTTGCTCAGTCCAGTAAGCTCACTGACAGGCCTATGGCACAGAGCTTGGATTTCCAAGAAAGCTCCAAATCCTCTCAAAATAGAAATTTATTGGCTAGAAACAATGTAGTTAAAGGGTTACCTTTTTCTTTCCCTCTTTCTTGCCCATCTGGTCCTTTTATCCCTGTTTTTTCTTCCTTGCCTTTTCATTTCCCAGCTCCTTCCCCTGGCTCTCTCCTTCTAATGTACTTTTCTGCTTTTTCCTTTAAATTGGTGTCCCCCAGCTGCCCATTTTAAGACACTTCTGCTCAAAGTTTGATGTTGCTGTTAGTGTTTCCTGCACGGACTGGTACAACATTTCAACTCATCTCCAACACAAGCATCACCGCTTTTATGCAAGTCAAGTTCCCAAGGCTTCCTTGCAACCCAAATCCTCCAGGCTTGGCTGGGGAAGCTGGGGCCGCTCTCAGCCTCTTCATGTGGTGCTGGTTGACCCCTCTCATGCTCTCAGTATAAATTTGTGCGGTTGCTAGAAAATGGGTTGGAAACATCCAGCAGCCACCTCTTGGCTAGAAACTTAAAATTACTTGTTTTGCCTGGCAGTGCCCCCACGATAAACAAATATGATCTTGCCTGCAAATTCCAAACCAATTGGTGTTGCGATGTGACAGAAGAGGCAATTTGGAGAAAATTTCTCAGGGAAAGCCAGGATTGTGAGAGTGTGTAAGAAGGAAAATGGGTTTTCTGCTGGTCACCTCATGTTCCTCCATGCTGCCCTGAAATCTGACTGCTTGCACTCAGCAAATTGAGTTTTTGGGGGTTAGGAGATGGTGTGTGCTTTCTCTGGCGAAGGGAGGGAGGGAGAGTGGTACATCGCTAGACTGCCAGCTAGAAAACTCTGCCTCTCATGTCTAGCTTTTACTGCTGTTTTCTATGATGCCTTTTGCTTTAATTTATTCATTTTTTGGTTTTTAAGGTGGCCAGGGGAGCCTGGGAGAGGGTCTCCACATAGGAATCCCTGGTCGCTTATAGAGTGAGGCCATCACTGCTCTATAAGGACTTATGTGATGCAATGCTGGGGTGGACCCTGGCTCCATCCTGCCCAAATTCTGCACCAGGCAGCAGCTGGTGGGATGGATTTTATTTTGCTCAAGCTGTGGCTGGATCTGGATTAAACCAACAGCCCAGCCAGCAGGTTTTATTTATTACTTTTTAGGAAGTGTAAGGATGTGTAGAGGAGGATATTTACCTCATGGCATTTTAAAAAAAAAAGAAACCAAACAACACAGGAGAAATCTGGCTTTGTTTTGAGCTCAGAGTGCTACGACACCATCTTTTAGAGGAGAGGAGGCAGAAGTGATGGAGGAGGTGACCCTCAGGGATGCAAACAGCAGCACAACATCCCCCCGGGACTCAAGCAAGCGGCTGAGGGAGTCTGTCTGAGGCGGAGGAGTGGAGGTTGCCCTTTGCCCACTGCGGCGGCCGGCGGCGGCCCATGTGGCAGTGGACTTTGGCAGTGGCACCTGGGGAGCGGAAGAAGGGCCCCAGCAGCCTCTGAGCAGGTGTGTGCGGCTACTGCGGGGGGCGGACAGCGGTGGGAAGCCTTGGCCAGAAATTAGGGGGGCCCTCAGTGAGATCAAAAGGATGGGTGTCTGGATGCTTCTGCCCCAGGGTGATTTAGGGCAAAGATTTAGCTCTGATTTCACCTAGAAGGGGCACAAATCGAGCTGCCTCTGTTCTGACCTAATTGTCCCTCCCTGGCCCTCAAATTACCCCAAAATGCCTTAAACTTTGAGTGTGAGAGGGCTGACAAGTGGTTCAGACAGCATGTGGCCATCTGCCTGTGTCGGGGAGGTTTGTCAGCCTTTGTGGGGAGGGTTTGGGTACTGATGCTGCAAGAGGAGATGTGAGGGACTTGAGGGTGGTGTACCCCCCAGTAGTCGGGGCTTCACCCGCCTTTGTCCTGGGCTCTCCTTAGGGTTTCCTCTTCTGCTTAGGACTGTTATAAGTAAATCCAATGTCTGCTTGAACTGTTATATTCTTGTTGGAGCTGAAAGGCAGGAGGAAATCCCTGTTTCCACCCCATCTCATAGCTCACATGAGCAAAACTCCATTTCTCCCTGCCTCTGTCCCTACTCATTTCCCTGAGAATAACTCTCCTTGCCCTGCTCGTAGATTTGCCGATATCCCTTCCACTACTGCACATAAAATGGGGTTTCACCACTTTGTCACAGAGATGAGGCTGATTTGTCACCTGCCTGGGGAGGCTGTGAGCAGTGGTGCTTTGCAGGGCTGGCTGGGAGTGCAGGAGGATGCAACCTGGATGCTACCTCTTGCTCCGGGAAGAGCCAGATGCCTGTTGCTTTCAAAAATGGACCATTTCACCTTGGTGTTTCAAAGAAAGCTTCAAATTTAGGCAGATATGGAGATGTTTTTTCCTTGCCTTTGGGCATTTTGGAAAGGATAGTGCATTTCCAGCAGGCTCCCAAAAGTGAGAGCAGGTAGCAGCAGGCTTCATGGGGGGCTTTGAGAGGGGTGAAAAGCTGCTGGTCAAACATGCTGTGGTTTATCTCATTGCTTGCAGGCCACTAAAGCAATCTGGGACTTAACCCCCCCTTCCTACCCCAAAACCAGAGAGGATATCACTGGCAAGCTTGTGATGGACCCCTGGGCCCCTGCCCGGCCGCCCCAGCCCTGGGAGAGGCAGGCAGCCCGGGGGGCATGGGGGGAGGCACACCGCAGCCCCACACCACAGCCCAGAAAACAGCTTCTTCGTGTGCGACCCCCACCTCGGCCTGGCTCCTGGGATGGGGGCCACCACCCTGGCCACCCATGGGATGAGGGCCACCACCCCCGGAGGAACACCAGCAGACCGGCTTCCCGGGCTGAGCGCTACGAAGGCAGCCGCCCCCCCAGGCCGTACTCCAGGTGAGAGCTGCCTCACCCTGCAGTGCTCACGCTGAGCGCCCTCCTTGTAAATCCTTTAAAAATGAGATTTGGCCACTTCATTGCACTCGTGGGCTTGCAACGTGGCATGGGCAAAGTGGTGAGCAGCCACCAGCTGCAGGTTCAGAAAGCCAGTGCATCAATAGGCGATGCCCACCTATTAAAGCAGCTAGTGACTTCTGTATTGAAGGCTGCAGTTGCAGCTCCGATTTCTTTTTACAGCTGTGGCTTCTGTGGTTGCCACTTTACAGGCTTTGTCTTCATCCCAAGGTGCATTTTTCTTGAAGGTTTGATTAAATGCCATTCTCTTTTTACTAATTGCAAGGTGAACAGTAAAAATACCGAGGGTAATATAGGAGCAAAGGGGAGCTTGCAAGCTCAGCTGCTGAAACAGCGGAGACTGGAAGGATAAAATGTGGGCTGGAGGATGCTCCCTGCGCTGAGAGCTTTGAGCGCTCCAGCACATTTGGGTGGATTTGCCTGAGTTATGGCCCTTGGTGAGTTATGGTATGGATACACAGGGTTTTGTGCTGAGGTTGTGTGATGCTCGCACTGGGAAGGGGGTTGCTGGGTTGGACTCTGGCATGGAGCAGACCTGCTGAGCTGTGTGGTGGACATGACAGCTCCAGAGCTTGGCAGAGGAGGTGCTTTCTGGAGGACCTCTTCTAAAATGTGGGTGAAAGTTGATCCTTGTGACAAGTCCGCACCGTTGAGCTGAAATTGGGCAGCTCCTGAGACCGCAGTGCACAGCTTTCTCATAGATAGGGGTAGAAGAGTATCCAAACCTCCTGCTGCTCCTTCTGGGTGTGATGCTGGACCAGTTTCTGGCCCTGCTGCTGAGCAGAGCACCTGGGCAGGAGACCTGGCTTTATTTCCCTCACCCTTTCTGCCTCTGAAGGTCCCATCCAGGGCAGAAATCTGACTCTAGATGTGATGCAGAACTTGCAGTGGCCCCTTTTCTTTCTCAGATTAAGTATGTTGTGTTGCGTTTCAGGCAAGGATATGAAGACCCCCATCGGCAGTATCCTGCAGCCAGCTATGGGGATGACTATGCCTACCAAAGCCACCAGTGGCAGCCACCAGCCTGGCAGGGTGACAGAGGTATCTTTTTGTCTGGTGGTGGAGGCAACTTGCAGAAGAAGAGGCGATGCTTTCTCTGGGATGGGTTCTTCTCCCCAGCGCTTGCACTTCTCTGGAGCTTTCTCCTGCCTACACTCATGGGCCATTGGTGCTGCTGTCCCCATGCAGTACTGGCCTTAGTTTGTATTTGGAAAATGTGAGCAGGAACTGGGTGCATCCAAGAGCATATTTGACACTTCTCTAGGGCTTTCTCCTGCCTGCACTCATGTCCATTGGTGCAGTACTGGCCTTAGTTTGTATTTGGAAAATGTGAGCAGGAACTGGGTGCATCCAAGAGCATATTTGATCCTGATGTCCATGGCTAAAGCCCTGCATCATTCCTGGTTCCAGGCTGAACTCGATCTTGATGGTGCTGTGTGGTCAGGGTGGCCAGGGCCTGGTTTTTGCTGTTTCTGGAATTCCTGAGCTGAAGAAAAGCGGGAGTGGGGTGGGGGGTGAGGAAAGGGTATCAGTGCTGTGTTGGCAAATGTGTACAGGGCTTTATCATACCTGCAACGTGTCAGGCTAATTTGGAAGCAAATGGGGTGTGCACGGCAAATTGCCTGACTCATTGCTTTTCTTTTACAACTTCATTTGTGGCTTGTTGCTCTGGAGGGACAACACTGAATCCTGATTCTCTCTCTAGATCTGAGACAGGGAGAGCCTTATGGCAAGAGTACCAGTTACCGGGATCAGCACTACTACAGGGGTTACCACCCCAACCTGGCCAAGACTCCCCCAGGGCAGGACAGGTAAGGGCTTCAGCTTTTGCAACCCTCTGCTGCAAAATCCCTGAGCTTCAGGGCATCTCCTTTTGTTCTCATCTGCAGGATGCAGACCTACGACTCCTACGAGGAGAGTTACATCTCTGCTGCCAGGAGGGAGTGGGCAGGGGGAGAAACCCTCAGCAACAATCTGGGGGAGGCAGGTGGCCAGCCCCAAGAGGTAACCTCAAGATGGGCAGAGGTGGAGGACAAAAGGCTTGGGAATCCCCTGGAGATTTGGGGAGCAATCCATATATCCCTTCTCCAGCTGGGAAGGAGGCTGAGGAGAAAAGGGCTGCTTTGCTATGTTGTGCTTAGTGCTCAACAGTCTCAGTTTTATTATAGTGAATTATTAGCATTTATGAACTCTCCATCTGCTGGGCTGTTGTTCCTCCAGGCATAGGGCCAGGAACAGGACAGAAGTCCAGGCTTGGTAGGATGCTTTCCTGCATCCAACCTGGGTAGCTGAAAGCTGTGTGTCATTGTCAGCTCTGTCCACCAAGTCCTGCTTCATGACCCTTGTGTCCCAATGACTCCGTTTTACCAAGAGCAAATTAAAAGATCAAATCAAAGCTGCTGTGATGGTTTTGTTCCTGGGCAATACTTTTTTTTGGGTTCCCAAGCTCAATCTGCTGGCTGCGTTGGGGAGTCCATGTTAAGGCTAGGAAAGCTGTTGGGCCAGACCAGTGGCTGATGTAAATTATTTTAAAAGCCACTGCATATGACCAGGGTATGTGCCACGATGAACCTGAGATGCTGAAGAGAGTGAGCTGCTCAGAGGGGCATCAGCTGTGCTGTTCCTGCTGGGTGCTTTCATGGAGCAGCAGAGCCTGTCCCAGCACCCTGGTAGCAGAAAAGCAACGGTGCCCCTCATTTCTCAGCCAAGTTTGTGTTTCCTTCCTTCCTTCTTGACAGCCCTTGGGCCAGTCCAGCCTGCTCCTGCAGTACCGTGAGTCGGGGCTCAGCTCCAGCGGCTACGAGCTCAGCCAGTACATCCGCGACAGTGCCGACCACTCTGACCACGCGCTTTCGGGGACCTGGAGCCCAGCACAAGCAGGTGATGGAGTCCTAGGTGAAGCTCTGATAAGGGGAGAGCAAGGAAATAAATGGCCAACGTTGGGAGATTTTCTGTCTTGCAGCTTGGTCCTCTGCTGACGGAGATTATGGAGGCACAGGGCATGACTGGGGGGCTGCAGGGTGGGTGCATGGTCTGGTGGCTGTGTCCTGGTGGGCACGGGAGCTGCCATGTATTTGTCTTCTGCTTTAGGGGATGATTCTTGCATGGAGGATCAATGGAGGGTTACTCAAGTTGGGTGGCCAGGCTGGGACCTGGTCATGTGCTCTACAGTGGAGATGGCATGGGGTCTGAGTGAGGGGACTCATGGTGGCCTCTGTGTTGTTGCAGGGGGGCCTTTGGTGTCCACTCCAGCCCTGGAGGTACCCCATAAGTTCCTGCTGCCACACGTGGCGGTGTGCTTTGGAGCTGGAGGCCAGCTGGTACTGGTGTGTCCCCACCGCCCTGCCGAGGGGCAGCTAGCCCACGTTGAGCTACACAGCCTGAAGGTACCCCAGACCACCCTCGGTTCCCTCCCTGGAGCAGCTCCTTCTGCCCCAAGTGATGCAAACACTGTCACCCAAACAGGCTCATTAGCTGCCTTCCTGTCCCCTGCTGACATCTCATCTCCAGCCCACACGGCCTTTTCAGTCTGCATTGTACTTGCCCATGCTTCGGCATTTTTTTCAGCCTTTGGGCCCCGTGTCCTGCTCCTTCAGTTCCATAACCCTTGAGTTGTCCATAACCTGTTCACAGTGATCTGCCCTGATGGAGACAAATATGGTTCATGCCTTTCTGAAGGACAAATCTGCTCACCATTCTGAGATCCTCCGATATGAAGGCTGTATCTGTCCCCTGAGCTTACCACAGCATTTCCTCCTCCTGTTTTGCTTCTCAGAGGAAGCAGATGCCATTTCAACAGGCATTTCTTTCCTGGACCTTGGCATTGGGCTCCATGAGATAGTTTGGGGTCTATGCTATGGGGTTACCTTAACATGGCACAAAGAATGGGTTCACCAGCACTGTTGAGCCCTTAGCCAAGGCACTGACTTTTAGCTAGCCCAGCTGGGACTGGCCTGACTCCTGGAGTCCAGCTGCTGCTCTTGCTTTTTAGGTAATCCTTCATGACACAAAAGAGCTGGAGGAGCTGCAGGCCTTCCCAGGCCCCCTGGCCAGGTATGGTGTATTGGCAGGTCCAGGAGCTATGTCCTCCTGACTGTGCCAGCATGGATGCGCTGGGAACACCTCTCCTTTGGGAGAAGATGTGACCTCAAGGTAGACTTGGAGGTCCTCATGGTTTTGGGAGCTGATATCTGCAAAGGTCAAGTCTGTGTTCAGATTTGGAGCTCATCCTCTTTGCTGTGGTGTGGGTTGGCTTGGATTATGGGAGATGTTTTGTTTTGTTTTAATATTTGTAGGGTGTGGGTTTAGTGTGGTTTGTAAGCCTGACCTTATTTTGTATTCATGTCCCAGAAAACTGATTTTTGGGAGATCTCTTTGGATGTCTAAAAGCTTGGGATAACCTCTGGTTTAGCTTTTCCTAAGGTTTTTGTCCTCTGAGGCTGTTGAGCATGGCAGGGTCAGACCCAGTATGCACCTCCATCCAGTGTGAGCCTGGGGATGAGTCATGGTGTGCTGTGTCAGGTTGGCTCTGTATTGTGCTGGTCACACCAGTGGGTCTTCTGGTCACACCAGTGGGTCTTCTGGTCACTTGTAACCAAAGCAGGGAGAGTTACCCCTTTACTAAGCAAAAGAGCTGCGTATGCCCAGAAACTGGATGGAAGACCTGGAGGGTTATTGCTTGTGCCAAAGGAGATGTTGTGATTCTCCATATGATGTGGTGATGTCTGAGTCAAGATCAGCATCTCCATCCCCGTCCCACTCCCTTGGCTGATCTTGTGTCTCAGCCACTCTTTCTTTCCAGCTGTCTGATTATTTTATTGTAAGGCAGCCGTTCTGCCTTCTTGCACCTAGCTTAAATGTTTCTGCTTCTGTTTGAGACCCAAGGGGTTTATGTGGTCACAGGAGTGGCTTTCTCCCTACACTCTGATGGTTAAATAAAAGATTTTGCCTGTACGTGTGCCTGCTCCTGCAGCCTCGGACATCTGTGGCTGTAACAGCAGTGGAGCACAGCAAATCTGAGGGGTTTTTTTGTAGATGGCTGGATGAAAATATTATCAGGAGGGTAGAGAAGAGGCTTGATATGCACTCTGCATCCCTGAAATCTGCAGGGTCACAATAATGATAAAATAAAAGCATTTTTGAGCTCAATGTGGTAAGTGGTCATTGGCACTGGGAAATTGATCTCCTCCATCTCTCACTGTGAATCTTTGGCATCCCCACCAGTGAACCTGGGGACGCTTTGAGTCTGAATGATGTCCTAGATTGCTTTCCCTTGGGTTTCTTTTGATGCCTTTCTCTGCTGCTGCAGGGAAGATCTGCACAAGGTGGACGTGATGACATTTTGCCAGCAGAAGATAGCCACGAGCTGTGATCTCTCAACAGAGAGAGGCAGAGATTCAGCTCTTCTCTGGAAACTGCTGGTCCTGCTCTGCCGGCAGAATGGGGTAGGTGTCCCGTGGCAGGGACTGACCCTCTTGATCTTAAAAGTGAATTCCCATAGTACTATCAATCAGTATGCTACTGCCCAGATATTTGGAGCAAACCCTTCTCAGCGATTGATTTTCATCCTTGTGAACCAGCAACAACCCAGTGCTGCTGCAGCTGTGGATGGGACTGGTGCCACCTTCATCGAGGAGCTAGTGCTTATGCTTAAGAGAGGATGTTGTTGTTCAGGCAGTTGTTCTATCACCTGATGACTCCTGCCCACCCAGGGCAGGAATCAGGAAAAGGAAAGGAGACCTGGGGGGTTGAAATAGAAACAGATTTAATAAAATAAACCTCAGTATTAATAGCAAAAATAATATAAAGTACACAAGGTTGCAACTTATATACAGTGGTCACAACAGGTAGGAGAGTAGGCCTCGGGAGCAGAATGCCAGGTGAGACTCTCCAGGGATAAAAACCATCAAGGAAAGAGAGGGCAGACCCAGCAAAATTCCAAGTTTATAGTGAGCATGATGTTTATAATATGAAATAATCTTGTTGGCCAGCTTGGGTCAGCTCCCCTGGCTTTCACTCCCTGCAGCTTCTGCACCTGACTCACTCAAAACTGCTAAAGACCTTGATCACTGCGTGCCAGTGCTGGCTGAAAACTAAAACAAAGTGTCTGATCAGCTTTGCTCCCACTGAATCAAATCATGCCGCAGTCTTTTCAGATGTGCAGCTTTTCTGAACAGAGAACTGCTTCTATGATGCTATCCCAGTGAAACCAGGACGGGAGATTCCCTTAACCTGATCAAATCCACCCAATCTAATCTGTGGCTGCCCATTGAAAACAGATGGATAAGATCTTCAGAATGAGTGCTGTGAAAGTCTTGCTAGTTGTGCTGAATCCTTTGCCCTCCAAAACTGTGTGCTGGTGGCCCAGGCTGGTCTTCCTGGGCAGATGTGCTAAGACGAGGAAACAAGCATGAGGGTGCTGGGCTGGCAGTGCAGTCAGCCTTTGCTCATAGGGCTGCCTCCGTGAGACTCGCTCCTCCCCTTCCCTTCTGCAGTCCATGGTGGGCTCAGACACGGCTGAGCTGCTGATGCAAGACTGCAGGCGTCAGGAGAAGTACAAGAGGCAAAACCCTGCGGTGAACCTGATCGGCATGACTGATGATGAGTGGATGTCCCGTCAGCCGGGAACACTGGACCTCATCACGGGAGAGGTCCCTCCTGTCGTGGAGACGCAAGCGCAGATAGTGGAGAAGTTCACCAAGCTCCTCTACTACGGCAGGAAGAAAGTAAGTGGTGAGCAACATCCAGGACACAGGGTTGACTTTTTTTCTTGGCCCCTCTGGCCTCTTCAGGCGGGCTTTAAAGGGAAGAGTGGTCAAGAGAAGCCTTGTGGTTGTGGGATCAAACCTTCAAGTTGTGTTTGTACAACAGGGCTTTATGGCAGTGATTTCCCACCACTGAGATGAGGCCTTGAGTGAAGACAAGATGCAGAGGCTTTTGGCAGCCCTGCAGGTTTAGTTGCAGCTGTGGCCTCAAGGGGTGCCAAAAGCAGAGGGTTGAATGCCGAGAACCTTGAGTGCCTATGCTGGGATCCCACAGCAGTGGCATTGAGAGCTAACAGGCAGCACAGACCTGGAAATTCAGAGGTGACAACATGTTTATGAAGATCCCACTTCTTGTCATTGTTCAAGGTAGAAAGATAAAGGGACCTTTGTGAATATGGAAGATTTTTTTGGAGGGTGTTAGAGCCAGAGCAACATCAGAGCTTTTCTGTGAGCTGGGGGAGCAGAGGGTATCCTGGCAGGGGAAGAGGGCAGGGAAGTGGAGTTAGTGCAAACCCTTTCTCTTCTCCACCTCGGCTGTAGGATGCTCTGGTCTGGGCCATGAGAAACCAGCTGTGGGGCCATGCTCTCTTCCTCTCCAGCAAGATGGACCCTCGGACCTACAGCTGGGTGCTCACTGGGTAAGTTGGAGAAGGTAAAGCAAGGTACGATGCTCTGTGACTGGCTTTGCCAAGCCTGTTATCGCTTCAGATGCCCTCAGCCCCAGCGCAGTGAAAAAAAAGAGCATTGATTTCATCTGGACCCTTTCAGAGAGGGCAAAGGGGAGAGAAGAGGCATCCATCTGGATGGGCCTGAGTCATTTGGTCTTCCTGCTGGACAGGAGAAACCAAGTAGGGGCTTCAAAGCAGAAGGAAAGTCATTCCCTGGAGATGTGAGGTGGATTTGTTGTGAGTCTTTGGCTTTGCCCTTGATGCCCCAGCAAAGGCAGCCATGGAGTAGAGGGAGGGGAGCCGTCTTCAGTGTGATCTGGTCTGCACTGTTCATCCCACTCATATGAATGAGTTTGGGTTTTTTTTTTTGTGGAATTAACATATTTAGTCTGGATTGGGTTGATCCCTTCAGGGAGAGGAATTTTGTCTTGTGCAACCTGAATCCTTTTAAGGAGGTTTTACCCAGCATTGTCCTGGAGGCTTGCCTGCTCTGGAGGTAGTGCAGATCAGCAGACTGGTAGGCTGATGATCTTCTGCCTTTTCTGGGAAGCCCCTCAGGACACTGCTTTCCTGGGGCATATGGGACATGCCCTTGGAGATGAATGAACGTTGAGGTCCTGGCATGGCAGCCCCATCCCTGCTGTCTCCTCACAGGTTCACCAGCACGCTGGCCACCAGTGACCCCCTGCAGACCCTCTTCCAGCTCATGTCAGGAAGGATTCCTCAGGCAGCACTGGTTTGTGAGCAGGAGGCTGGCCCTGGCACATGTACCCTTGTGCTGTCACCCACCTGTGACACCCACCTTGTGGTCTCCATCTGTGCTTACCTTCGCTCTCCTCTTGTCTCTCTCCAGTGCTGTGGGGATGCCAAGTGGGGGGACTGGAGGCCCCATCTGGCCGTGATGTTGTCCAACAAGGTTGGAGACATGGAGCTGAATCATCGAGCCATTGTCACCATGGGAGACACTTTGGGTGAGCCGAGGCCATTTCACAATGGCAGTTATGTTCCCGCTGTCTTGTAGCAGTTGAGTGGACACCCGTGATGGCACCGTGCATGTCTGTGCTGGCACGGATGTATGTGGTGCCAAGATGGGGTGTGCAGGCCTGTACCCCCCGAGCTGCAGTGACTGTGTGGTGTCAGGGATGAGGTGTTGATGGATCCCATTGCCCTTCGTGCTGGCACATGAGTCAGGCTCAGGCATGTTCATTAGCTCCTTTGGAGACATCTGGACTGGTGGGGATTCTCAGAGATTTCGTGCCAGTAACGGCACCCTGCAGAGTTGAAGCTGGAGGTCCCTGCTCTGGATGCACTGGTCCTACCACTGAACTTTCTGTACCTTCTAGGTTAAAAAAACAGCAATTAGGGAAAACAGGGGAGCAGGGAGAAGGGAGGGATCAGGTTCTGCATGGACAGGGAAGAAAAGTGGGGCAGTTATATTTGGGTTTTCATGGGAGCCTGGGGGCCTCCAAAGCAACACTGACCACACGGTGACATCTCTATGAACTCTTTGTCTCTTTCCTCCTATCCAGCTGGCAAGGGAGCAGTCGAAGCAGCTCATTTCTGCTACCTGATGGCAGATATTCCTTTTGGTTACTTTGGGGCGAAGGCAGAGCGCATGGCTCTGCTGGGCAGCAGCCACCGGTGAGCGAGCCCAGGCAGGAGGTGGTCTTGCCAGGGTGACGTGTCCCACATTGTCCCCATCCCCAGGATCTCACTTGTATGCAAAAGCAATCCCTGCTTGTAGGTTTTTACTGCTCTTAATGTGAGCTTTACTCTGGACCTTTCCAGCCACAGGCTGGCACAGTGGTGGAGCTGTGAATCCTTGTGCTGGGGCTGAACCTACCCACTGAACCCACTGAACCTACTCCTCTCATCTGCAGACAGGCGTTCACCCAGTTTGCCAGCACAGAGGTGATCCAGAGGATGGAAATCTTTGAGTTCTGCCAGCAGCTACGACAGCCCAAATCCTTCCTGCTCCCCTTCCAGGTAGCAAAGATGCACAAGAACATCTGGTGCAGTGGCTCAGACCTGCCCCAAAACATGCATCCGTCCCCCTGGGGCCAGGGGCTCAGGCTGCTCTCTAAGGCTTGTCTCCTCACTGGGCTTCGGGAGCAATGGGAGACTGCCCCAGCTGAGGGGCTCCTCCAGGGCAGGGGTTTTGGGCAGGTTTTGGAGTGTAGTGTGTTTGATCAGTGCTTGTTCAGGTCTGGCTCCTGGCCTGCTCCCTGGGTAATGGATGGGCTTTTCATATTGCAAATGAGCACCCAGCTGCTGCTGCCTCAGGCGCTGCACACATTTATCAGGTGGATAAATGAAGCTGGGGGCTGCCTCATGACAACACCATGGTTTGGGGAGTATGGCTGGTCTGCCTCATGGGGATGGGTGGGCTGTCCCCAAGTTGAAGGTGACCTCTGGGTGGTGAGACCCATGTCCCATGGTGCTCTGAGTCATGCTATGCTGATGTGTCATGGCAGAGGGAACCCGCAGGCCGGAGCATCTCCTTGCTAACCTCCATCTGCTCTGCTTCCCTCTCCTGAGGTGTACAAGCTCCTCTATGCCTCTCGCCTGACTGACTATGGGCTCCCAGCCCAGGCCCTGCAATACTGTGAGCAGATCGCCACTGTGCTCCTGGACCAGGATCCGGCCAGCCATCCTGTCCTGGCCCAGCAGGTGATGAAGGTGAGTCTTGTGGTGGTACCCATCCAGGACCCAGCGTGGTGGGAAGGATGCTCAGGGTTTCCTGTGGCCAAGGGCGCTTGGCATCTCTGAGCAGCCACCAGAGTTTGCTGCCTGGCATGTGCTGATCAGGGTCTCCAATACCCACGGATTTAGGGTAGAAAACAAAGGAATTTTGTTGACTGCCTAGTAGGAGCAGAGTTATTTGGAATCAAAGGATGTTTTCTATTCTGGAAGGGCTTTTTTAACTTCTAAATGGCATAGACTTAAGAAGCTGAAGTGTGAGTGCTTGACATTTTCTCTCCAGCACATCGTCTCATGATTGCATTTCCCTGCTGGGGGCTCTTTTGGGGTGACAGTGAACAGGAGCATATCCCAGCTTGTAGCCCTGAGCCAGCTCCTCTGCTTTACGAACAGGACACTGGGGCAGGGAGAGGAGAAGCAAAGTGTCCCAGGTCCCCGCAGAGCAGGTTGGGCTCTTGGGAGAGTGGGTCTGCCTGCTCTATGCACACCATCAGGGCTGCTCAAAGCCTTCCTCTGTTGGGAAGGGGACAAAAGCCATGATGCTGTGAGGGCAGCAAGGATGCCAGTCTGAAGCAGGTGCTGTAGAAATTGCCCAAAACTCGGCTGGTGCAGCTTCCCTTACCCCATCATTGAAACCTATTTACTGTCTAACAGCCTCTCAGATCTGCTGTTCTGCTGGGGATAATGCTTCTCCTGGGAGAAAACACTTTCATCTGAAAAACTAGCGCATTCGTAGATGCTCTTGTCTTTGATGTTGTAGACTGTGTTACAAATTATGATACACATTAGTGTTTGATTAAGACTTCCCCTCTTTTGAAGCTAGGGATGGTATACAACCAGGTGCTGGTTCATTAATATTGGATCAAAGTGCACATTAGCTTTTGGATTAAACATTCCCCCCGTTTAGGAGTAATCACACTGATAATTTCCTCTTTCCTGCAATTTATTTAGGATGAACACGTGTGTGCTTGCAAAGAGAGGGGACAGTGGGGCTGTAGGTAGTGTGAGTTACTCTGCTCTCCATGGCTGTCCTGTGTCCTGAGCCAGGCTTCTGCTGTGTGGGTTGTGTCTCACTGTAAGCTCTTGGAGGTGGGAAGTGTGTTCTGTGCTGGTTTAGACTTTGTTTTTAAAAACTTTGTGGCCTCAAGCTGTGCCATGGGAGGTTAGATTGAATATTAGGAAAAAGTTCTTTACTGAACAAGTGGTCAAGCACATTGGAATAGGCCACCCAGGGAAATGGTGGCTTCTCCATCCCTGGAGGTCCTCAAAAAAGTGTGGATATGGCACTTCAGGACATGGTTTAGTGGGCATGGTGGTGGTAGGTTGACAGTTGGACTTCATGATCTTAGAGATCTCTTCCAACCTTAATGATTTGATGACTCTATGTGGAAATGGCTGCTGGGGACTGGTGCGGGCACGTAGCTGAGACCTCTGTGGTTGTGAAGGGTGGCTGAGCTGGAAGGTCACCTCTGGATGGCTTTTGGTGGCCCTTGATCTGACAGCCTCCTAGTAAAGCTGGGAAGATAAGTGAGCACAAGGTGGATGAAAGAAGCTGGGAAGGAGACTGATAAATCTCAAGTGAGTTGTTACCAGTAAGTGCAAATTCCGTAAAGCCTTGAATGAAGTCTTTGGGCGAGTGCCATCTCCCCTCATCCAGCTGTCTTAAAACTGGACCCGTGTCTAAGCAATTTCTCTAGACTGTGATTTAGCTCTGCAGGGAGCCCTCCATCACACCCAGGAGTGGTGGAATGGGTTGCCCCAGAAGAGCCCCTTGCTCTGTTGACTCTACCTAGAGCCCCATGTTATTGAGATGGCTGCAAGGCGCCAAGGCCTCTCTCTTGCACGAGAAATTAAACACGCAGCAGCAATACTGCAGAGGAGTACCTGGGGGAGATAGTGGAGCATGGAAAAAATACCAAGCAGCAGCATAACAGGATGCTGCTGAGAAGAGGAAAAAAAAAAAGTAAAAAAGTGCCTATGTTATAACGTTATTCTGGGCTGTGAGAGCAAGGATGGCATGTATGAGACAAGGAGGTGATAATCCCCCTGTGCTCAGGTCTTGGGGGTCTTGGCTGAGGCACTGTGCCCTGTTTGGGATGCTGCGCTCAGAGACAGGGCCAAATTGGAGCAAGAAAAGCAGGGATGATAAGAGATTGAGGGGAAAATGACCTCTGAAGAGAGGCTTGGGGTTATTATTTCCAGGCAAGATATGCCGGGGTATGGGGGATGTGATAGCAGTCCCCTGGCACATAGGAGGCTGCTTTTCAGGAGATGGTGCCTGACCATTCCTGCATCTTCTGCAGCAGCAGTGGCTTAATTTGTAGCAGGGAAGATTTTACTTAGATGTTAAGAAAAAAACTCTTTAGCTGTAAGGACATTATGCATCAAGACAGGTCTGGGAGGCGATGAAATCTTCTCCTTGGAGATTTGTAAGCGCAAAACACGGGCTGCGCAGGCTGGTGTGGGCACAGAGGATTGTCATGAGTATAAGCAAGGAACCTCAGAAGGTCTCTCCCAGCCCTGCATTTCTGTTGTTTTCTGTGTGGTTATTAGCAATGGTAATGCCTGTTGCAAAGCCAGGTGAGGAAACGGCCAAGTGAGCCCCTAGCTCAAACCCTACCAGCTCTCATCCATCCTCGCAGGGTAGGTAAGAGGTTGATGCACAGCCCTGAGCTGTTTCCAGGGCTCCTGGTGGGGTGTTCTGCAAAGCTCCCAGTGCCCCAGGATAGCTGCCAAGTGGGATTAAAGGCACTCATTTTCCTTGGAGAAGAAAAGGACGGTAGTAGTTAACTGCCCCTCTGATGTGAAGAGCATCTTTGACGTTGGTACTTTGACATCTCTGTGGAGGTGGCTGAGGTAGCCCTGCTGGGAGGCTCTCTGTGGGGTTCAGGATTGGCCAGCACCTCTCTGTGGCAATGCAGGAGAGGGCATAAAACATCCCTGTATTACAAAGCACAGCTCTGGGGCTGTTTTCCCCTGGGCCTGTGTGCCTGGCCATGTGCAATTGCTGCAAGGGTCGGTCCCTTCCCTGTGGAGCTGAGGTGTGTGCTGAGCCCCGTTGCCCTCCTGGTTCTGCAGCTGGCTGAGCGGCTGAAGCTCTCCGACCCTCTGCTCCTGGAGATGCCGGAGCAGGACCAGACACTGGAGCCCGACTGGCTGGTGCAGCTCCGAGCCTGCTGCCAGGAGTGGGAGGTAAGGATGGGTGGGGAGATGCTGAGGAAGTCCTGGGGGGATGCTGGTCTGCCTTGTAGTTTGTCTGCAGAAGCATCTTCCTTCTCTATGCTGAATCCAGGGGGACAGATATGGAGATCTGAAGGCCCAGGTGCCTTTCCTCTTGGCTTCTGAGCACAGAGATGTGGTCTCTGCTATGGGACTTGCAGCTTCAGCACGAGCAGGAGGGGTTCAATGTCC